CCTAACTTATTACCTGAACCAATGACAGTAGTATTTTTCTGTTTATTAATAGTAATTTCATTCAAATTTGAAGTATCCACAACCAATTTTCCGAAAGTACTATATTTTTCATATGAATGACCTCCCGATCTAGCAGTAATAGTTAGGTTTAGAGACTTTGCACATTTGACCGCCGTTTGCACGTCTTTCACGTTATTTGCATATACAATCGCATTAGGATGAAAAGTTATACGAGTATTCTCATCCGTAATATCTTGTATGTAATTTGGATTATTAGGAAATACCGTTTGACCTTTGATCGAAGTAAGACATGATTTAAGATCGCGTTTAAAATTTTTAATTGGCGAAGTTTTAACGACTATAACCAAAAAAAGTAAAAGGCAAAGTTGTAAAGCAACTTTTTTGAAAGTTGAAGATAACATTTTTTATAATTATAAAATTAATATAATTTTATTATTATTATTATTATTATTATTATTATTATTATTATTATTATTTTAACAAAAAGAGACCTATTTATACTGGTTACAGCTAGAGATAGGCAATATAATAATTTATGTGTGCAATATCTATTTTTTAACACTTTACCTTTTCTTGCTACGTAATAAAAATTAAGTAATCAGCTATCCCTAATTATAGCATTTATTAGTATCTATAAATAAGAAAAGCCCGAAAATTTCAATATAACTATGTAAATATTAGTAAAAACCGAAAATCTTAACATTTATTATGTTAATAATAGACAAAATGTGTACGTATCCTCAAACATTTAATTACGGAGATGCTACGTATATCCTGTCATCGGTTGTCGACGAATTGATTGACTACATGCGTAAAAGATCGGTGTGATCGATAAAATTATTTTATTAACATATTAATACAGTATATTAATACATGACAATATCGAATATCCTTTGCCGTTATCGTTATGAATTCAAGTCTTAAATTTATCCGGTTTACAGTATTACATAAAAACTATTCAGAGAAGGTTACGTCTTCTAAGAGTTTCCCGGTTTGGCTGCCCATGTAGTTAACGTTAAGCAAAAATAGCTAGCTGGCAAAATTAGCAAATTTGCCTATCGCTATTGATGTTTCGTAACGGCAATTACAACTGGTCAATGATATTTAGTTCTATTTTTTGTTAAGCTGTTACAAAATCCCATATATCAATATGTTCTTCGTCAAT